AAGAGCTTTGGATTCCCCTGGAATTGGAGTTAAGGATGGTTTGTAGCCACCATGTGGGTGCTGGGAATCGAACCCAGGTCCTCTGCAAGAGCAGTCAGTGCTCTTAACCGTTGAGCCATCTCTCCAGCCCCGTAAACGGTAGAAAGATTTTAAAACCCAAGAGTAGACAAACTTGTCTTTAATGGTAATCTCTGCTACTTAGAAGGCAAGAGGTCATCAAATTCCACCATTAGCCTGAAAAGCTATGTCCATAGGCCAGCACGTACCACCCTTAAAATACGTATTTACTGAGGGCAACGTGCATCACACATTTACAGAGCAAGCAGTTCTAGGGCAATCTCTGAACCCCATACTGGGAATCAGTGCTTTTTGAGGGCAATCTATATGTAGAGTAAGTCCAAGCTGAGTGAATGCTGGGGTTCATGTGCACCGGCCCTGCCACTTGCTGGTTGGCAGACCCTGGGCAATGTTCTTACTCAGTCCTTCTAAACCTCCTGGGAAAAACAGAATAAGAAAGGATGGTGGATTTAAGGCTTAAGGCAATCGTATAATGACGAAAGCAGGAAAGAAGTTCAGAGTGCTTACTAGATGCACGTTCTACCAAGGACACATCATTTGTTATTCCCAACCCACCCACATGGAACTCACAACATCCTCACACTCCACAGGACTGTCAAAATCAGCGTTCTTTAGGGTAGACTGGCTGTCCAAAACATTCCAGAATTTATCTATCTTTGCATGAACAGCCACAAGAACACAGAGAAGCTGAGAGAGACAGAACCTTGTACAATTATTTCCCCTTCTACCTGTGTAAAATTTTCACCCAAAGTGTGCCTGGATCACCCAAAAAGGCAGTGGGCAAAGATTTCACCTAAGTCAAGGAGTGGGTCTTATAAGCCCTATGTGTCTGCCTGTCTAACGGGGGGCAGACTGTGACCAGAAGTTAGCTTTTAATAAGTGAAAACACTGGCGACAAGCCGACCTCATCCGATGCAAATTTTCCCCAGCCATGTAGGAGACTCCATGAGATTTAAGGCAGTTTGCAACATTAAATAAAATGATTCTGGGAGAGGGGTACTAGGTTAAGTCACATAGGACAGCCAAGTGCCACGATGGTGCTTTAAGGCCTTCCAGGCACTCGGCGACTTGCACAATCTACACCTGCATCCTTCCTATTTTATAGAGCAAGTCACTGAGAACTGTTACTAAGCAATTAGCTCAGGCTTCCAAAGCAGACAGAAGCTTTAAAAACAAACAAACCGGGGTGCTGTGTCTCCAGGAATTCTATTTAGAGACGTGACTGCTGGAAGTCAGCAATTTAGATTCAAGGTCCCCACGGGTGAGGCGGGTGTAGCCCATCAACTCCAGACCCCAGCATCCCAGGCACTTGGGGAATCAGCAATCAGACGCCAAGGTCCCCACGGGTGACGTCAGTGCTGCCCATCAACTCCAGACCCCAGCATCCAGGGAACCCGAGCAGGCGCTGCATACCCTCCGGCGTGTCGTAGGTCAGCGTGGCCATCTGCACCAGCGCGTCCTCCTCGAAGGGCTGGTCGTACTGCGGGGAAGGAGAGCGGCGTCAGGCGTCAGGCCCCAGCCGCCCGGAAGCCCCCGGCCCCGGCTCGCCCGGCCCACCTTCTCTATGAGCCGCCGCATGTACGCCTGGAAGCGGCGGCGGCTGGCCTCGAGGTCGCGCAGCAGCCGGTCCCCCGCCGGACCCTCGGCCTCCATGGCGCGCAGCGTCGTAGCGGACACCCGCATCCGCCGCCCCGCGCGCCGTTCAAACCGGCCGCCCTCCTTCCCGCCGAGGCGCGGGCGGTGAGTGGGTAGTTCAAAACGCTGACCCCGCCAGTCCGCGCCGTTTCCGGCCCCGCCCCTCCCAAAGAGCACTTCCGGTGGAAACGGGAGGAGCGGGCGGGCCGCTGCGGCGGGGAGCGCATGCGCATTGATCGCGCGCGGTGGGGGGAGCGCTATCCGCGCCCCCTAGTGGCGTCTGGGAGAGTTGCCTGTCCTCCTCTTGAACTTTTTTACCGCGGGGCCCTGCAAAGCTACCAGCCTGGGAGGGCGGAGAGAACGCCACCGGAAGGACGCAGAAAAGAGTCTTCAGAAATTCCGACAAAGGACACGGTTAAAGATACCGTGCTTAAAGTTTTAAAAATTTTATGTGTATGAGTGTATTGCCTGCATGTGTGTAAGTGCACCTTTGCCATGCAATACCCGCGGAGGTCAGAAGAGGGCGTCGGATCCCCTGGAACTGGAGTTAGGACGGTTGCTAGCTGCCATGTGGGTGCTGGGAATCGAACCCCGGTCTTGTTCAAAAACAGCTAGTGCTCTTAACCCCATCTTTCCAGCCCTAACCAAACACTAAAAGTATCACAGAATCTGGGCTTTCTTTCTTTCTTTCTTTCTTTCTTTCTTTCTTTCTTTCTTTCTTTCTTTCTTTCTTTCTTTCTTTCTTTCTTTATTTATTCATTCATTTATTTATTTAATTTGAGACAGGGTCTCCCTGTAGCCCCAGCTGGCCTCGATCTCACAGAGATCCACCCGCCCCTGCCTCCAAAGTATTTGTGCCAAGGTCTGTGCCACCATGCCTAGCTGAATCTGGGATTTTTTATTACCGGATTTTTATTAATTCCCTCTCCCATGTCTGATTATATTCTGTTTCTTCATTGATACCAATCTATAATATTTCCTAGTGGGAATTGATACTTCAGTGTCTGTTTTATGACTGGTGTTTATCTTGATTGATGTTTTAGAAAAGCTTCAGGTAAGGTTTTTGGTTTTTGTTTTCTTGCAGTGCTGGGGGTCGGACCCTGGGTTAGAAAGGTTTTACTCTGGTTTCATTACAGCCCTATGGGTGCGCTTGTGTAGTATGATCAATAACGAAGGCGTTATTGAGCATGAGGTTCCCACCGGGGGCTCTTGGCCCCTCAGCCTGCACCATAAGCCTTTCATGCTGTCCTGCAGAAATTGGGGAAGGAAAGACCTTCTGAGCTCATGGGTGTAAATGTCCACCCAATGTATTGTGTCAGGCACAGAGAGGTACCACCCAGGTCCCTTCCAAGATGTCTGCCTTCTGAGAGGGCTCCTTCAGTTCTCTTCTGGAATTGTTCACTGGAAGGAAGTTGTCCACCCAAGCTGTCCCTACCCCAGTTATGGCCCTGGTCCATGTGGGAATGTGAAGGCTGTGCCTTACAAGGCGGGGACAGCCAGATGAGCCATTCTGTCTCCTGAGATGTCCAGGGTAACCTGCCCACACACAGTCTTTGCCCTGGCTTTCTCCAGAGCAGGTCGCAGGACTCTGTCTCAGACCTGCCTGCACACCAATTCTGCCTCATTCTGCACCCACAGAGTTCACAGTGGCAAGCAGCCACTGGGTGCACACAATTTGTAGTCTTCCCAGTGTTCACAAGCAGCTGAAGTGCCTTCTTCCTCTCTTGGGAGCGTTTGGAAATGTAACACGCTAGGCTTCCAACAGAGTTAGACTTTAAACTTCCAACTTCAGACTGTGGATAAGGTTTTCTTTCAAGTTTGGGAGATTTTTCTCTCTTGTGTGTGATAGTGCCATTTTTCAAAACTGGCCCACCATCAGGCTTGTTCCTCATCCTGTGGAGACTTCTCCCAGGCTCCCAGACATCCTTTACTGGTTTCACTGATAATTCAAGGATTTGCCTCTGTTATCAGTGGTGTCAAGGGAAGGATCCATCTTAAGTTCAAGTCTCTAAAAGTCACCCCCTTTCTGGGGCTGGAGAGATGGCTCAGCGGTTAAGAGCACTGACTGCTATTATAGAGGACCCAGGTTTGAGTCCCAGCACCCACATGGTGGCTAACAACCACCTGAAACTCCAGTTCCAGGGGATCTGATGCCCTCCTCTGATCTCCATGGGCATTGCACAACACAGGTGCACTTATATACATGCAGACAGTACACTCATACACATAAAATAAAAATAATAAAATATTTAAGAAGAGTCACCCCCTTCCTAAGCTAGCTAGAACTTGTACATGGACCTTGTCACACTGGCCTGGTGGCCTCTCAGTTCTCTGACTGACTTTTCCCATGGGTGGTGGCCCAGCTTTCTAATTCAGTGTCATTCTTGACAGTCTAAATGTGACCTTAGGAATGCAGACCTGCTAAGCAAATGTCTTTCCAATGCCTGTACAAGAGGGAATTATGCCATCTCCTCCCCAGCATTAAGCTTCTGTGTGCAGCATCATGGACTCAGAGAGTTGCTTAGGCAGCAGGGATGCAGGTGGTGCTCAGAACCGGCTGCAGAATCTCATGCTGCATTGGCATAGCACCCTCTGCTGGCCAACCAAGATATCCAAACATCTAAGTGCTGTTTACAGTAATTGCCTATAAAACATCTTTCACCTGAAGCGTTTTAAGGCCGCTCTCATAAAATCTGCCTGAATTTTGCTTCAGATAAAATAGATGGAGATTTATTCTGCATACAGTTGCCGTGTAAATAAGTTTGTGTTGGAAAGGCACGGGACTTTCACCACCTATAGTTAGAGAAGTAATAGCTTTTGGCTGGTCCCAGTGTTGTGGAAATTGTTACTTAGCAGTAAGAATCTCGCCTTTATGGGTATTGCATGGCAGGGGTGCACTTACATGCATGCAGGCAACACACTCATACACATACAAATGAATAAAAATACACATTCTATCTTTTAAGCTGTTGAATATATGGGCCTGTATATATGTATATACTATGTGTATTTATATGTACAGGCACATATGTGTCCAAATGTTTGGTGATGATCTGATTTTTAGACTATTTTTATTTTATTCTTTGACAACTTCATGCACGAGTCCACTTGGTACTTCCCACATGCACATGAGTGTGGATCCATCCACCAGAACATGGCCAACCTACCAGCAGCCAAACCATCAAAGAAAAATCACTCCTCCTCCCCCAGCAGCCATCAATTGCCAATATCTCCTTAGCTAGTCGTAGGGCCCCATGGACCCTTCTCTCATTGCTGCTGAGATGTTGATCGACTTGATCTTGTTCAGGCAACCGTAGCTGCCGCGATTTATGAGTGCAACACTGATGTCATGTCCAGAGGCGGCACTTCACAGCACTCCTCCTCACCCTCAGGTTTTACGTTCTCTCCGCCCGAGTCTTGGGGAGAGGTTGATATAAATGTCCAATTTAGGACTGAGCCCTCAAGAGTCACTTGTTCACAGCACTTTGACCAGTTATGAGTCTCTGCGTTGACTGCTGCCCACTGCAAAGAAAAGCTTCTCTGGCTAAGACTGGAGAGCAGTGCTAACCTATGAATGTAAACACGAATATTCAGAAGGCAGTGTGACAACATGACTATTTAGTAAAATAGTCGTAGTAGGTTTCCCCATAGGGCCTGTGACCTCCCTAGCCATGGACTTCTGACCAAGTTTACAGCACCAGGAATGAATTCTCTCCTTAGAGCAGGCCTCAAATCCAATCAGAAAGTGGTTGGTTACCCTATAACAGTTGTGCCACTTTGTGCCAGTGGGCAAATTGTGCCTTGTAGGTCCAGCACTGTAGTATGCAGGGTCCATCATGTCTTCTGGAAGCAACATTGTCCATCTGCACAGGGTACCTGTGTCCAAACCCATTCTTAGATGTTGTAATTATGATATACTTTGCTGTATTTTGTACTAATTTTTTCTGTATGTACTTTGCCTCTGAGTGCTAAATTGTACCTCACTGGTCTTTGTCTAACTTTGTACTTATATCACAGTGTCATAATAACTAGCTGGATAAACACCTTCCTCTCCCTTAACCTTGTTCATCTCCTTTAGCAGTGTTCTAGTTGTTCTGGACATTGTTTTTTTAATATACATTTTATTAACAGCTGTTTCCATTATAGCTCAGTGTAGAGCACTTGCCTACCGTATATGAGACCCTAGGTTCAATACCCAGTACTATAAGACTAAACAAACTTCAAAACTAGCCTTCAATAGTTCCATCTTCATGATAGGTATATATGGTAGAGTTAAATATGCTGATTAAAAATTATACTGACTTTGATTACACTAAAATCATGTGGTGGTTACACACAAAGATCTAAAATGATACAGGATAGATGAGGCGGATTAAAATTATGCACATTCATAGGGAGAATTAGTTGAACTGCACAGTGATCATTTGGGAAAACTTGACTTAATCCATCTGTAATGATTTATCTTGCCAACTTGATATGATTTTAGAATCACCTAGGAGACTTTTCTAAGACGTTTCCTTTCTGTTACCATGGTAAAACACTCTGACCAAAAGCAACATAGGGGAGGAAAGGGTTTATTTCATGACTGGTCACAATCCATTACCGAGGGAAGTCCGAGCAGGAACTCAAACAGGAAGCACGAACCCTGGAGGGGCACTGCTTGCTGGATCGCTCATTCTTAGCCTTGATGGGCTGCATCTCCTCTTAGAGCATGAGTCAAATTAAACTCTTTCAATTTATTTTTGCAAGATATTTTGTCACATCAACAAGGGCAGTAACTAATAAAAATGTGCTAAACCTAATCATGTAATTTGTAGGCATTTGGAGCTGTTTGCAGGAGGAATGTGGAGGAGTTCAGAGCCTGCAGGCCAGAGAAGTCCTAAAATACTGACAGCAGAGCTTAATGGGCCATCCTGATTGGAGCGTGCAGGACTATAGTGCACTGGCTGACAGAAAGGCAGACAGTAAAGCCTATGCTCACAAGATTTCAGAGAGAACAAGGACTCCATGAGGAACTGGGCTAGAGGATGGGTTACATTTTAGGAAAAAAAAATCTGCATGCATTCTGCCTGTGTCCTGAAAATCTGGGTGAGGCTGAATTCAGCAGTAATGGGCTAAATTGTTTGGTGGAGGAAATCGCAAGGCAGCTGTTTT